GCTAGGAGAACAAACAGGTTTGTCCTGGAGAGGGTGAAGCCAGAATGTTCCCTGGAGTCAAGGATTCTGAAGCTTCGTCTGACATACTTTGGGCATGTTGGAAGAAGGGACTGGTCCTTAGAGAAGGACATCATGTTTGGGAGAGTGGAGGGACTGTGCAGGAGAGGAAGACCCTCGATGAGATGGATCGATTCTGTGACTGGAGTGGTGGGAATAAGTGTTTGAGATGGCTAGGTTGGCACAGGATAGAACAGCGTTTAGAGCTCTTGTACATAGGGTCACTATGAGTTGCAAGTGACTTGATGGCACATAACAACAACAACAAATCTAAATGTTTACTATTTCAAAGAGCATGTTAATATGGAGCTCTCAAAGTTCTAAAAGATCATGTTAAATTGCGTTTGATTTTTATTCTTTTTTACTGTAACTGACTACTAGTATCACCTAGAATAACTGTCTCTCACTATGATAAATATCTTTCGCTGTACCAAAAAGAATTGGTCGACACTGAAATATTTCAAGCAGTAGTATATGCTAAACACTTAGTGGTGATGAGGGAAGAAGTTCAAGCTGCAGTGAAGCTTCACTGGCAAAAATTCAAGGCCTCAGGAATTGATGGGAGATCAATGTTTCAAGTAACGACGTTTCAAGATGCAGCCCTAAACATGCTCACCAGTCTGTGACAGGAAATTTGGAAAACAGTTATCTGGTCAATTCACTGGAAGAGATTTGTATTTGTTCCCATTCCCAAGAAAAAAGATCCACAGAACGTGGAAATTATTAAACAGTATCATTCATATTATATGCATGCAACATATTGCTGAAGATCATCCAAAAACAGCTAGAACAGCACAATGAAAGACAACTGCCATGTCTTTTGCCCATTTTGTAATTGCGTTATCAATCTTTTTCTTCTGGAGGCCCAGTTGTATTTTGTAAACTTTTGTTACGAGACCTTTATCTGAGATGGCATTGCCAAATGTTTTTTTCACAGTTTTTAGGTTTCATTTTCACCCCGCTACTCCACTACTAGGAATATACCCCAGGGAAATTAGAACCGAGACACAAATGGAGATCTGTACACCAATGTTCACAGCAGCATTATTCAACATCACAAGAATATGGAAACAGCCCAAATGTCCAACCACAACTGAATGAAATTATGGTACATTAACAAAACTGAATACTATGTAGCACCCAGGAGCAATGATTTTGAAAAATACTACAGAACTTGGGAGAGACTAGAGAGCATTATGCTGAGTGAACTAACTCAGTCTCTTGAGGACAAATACTGCATAAAAACCATCGTTGTAAAAAATAGAAAGATAACTAGTAAAACATGGAGGGGGTGGATGGGTAAGGATGGGTGGGGCAAAACCACAGGGTTGCATAGTTGGTGGGTTGAGGGAGAGGGTAAAGGAAAGGGGAAGGATCTGGCAAGGACCTGAAAAAAACAGAGTAATGATGGGCAAGGTGCAATGGTGATTAATTTTATAAAACAGATGCCTCTGAGCTATGGTGTTGGAGTGTTGAATACACCATGGATTACTAAGACAATGAACAGGTTCATCCTAAAGAGGGTTAAACTAGACTGCTCCTTGCAGGCAAAGATTCTGAAGCTTCGTCTGACATACTTTGGACATGTTGCAAGGGGGGACCAGTCCTTGGAGAGGGACGTCATACTTGGGAGGGTGGAGGGACAGTGCAGGAGAGGAAGATCCTCGATGAGATGGATTGATTCAGTGACTGCGGTAATGCGGGTGGGTG